GGGGGGAGGGGGACACCCCCAATGGGGTTTGGGGGGACCCCCCAGACGAGGGGAATTCCCATTCCCGTTTCCCAGAAGGAAGAGCGAGTGTCGGAGCTCCGGCAGCAGCTCCAGGACCGGCAGCAGCTCCGCTCCCGCCGCCGCCGCCCCTCCAACCCCTCGCAGCGGGAGAACGGGGACAACAACCACTTCCCACCGGGAATGGGGACACCCCCACCCCCTGCAGCCCCCTCGGGTGGTGGGGGAGGGACGGCGGGACCCCCGTTCTACCAGCCCAACCTGCCCCTCGTGCGCTGCCTCGTGTCGGAGCAGGCGGAGAAGCTGGGACGCGGGAATTGCGACGGGAGCCGCGTCCACCTCCTCTACAAGTGACCACGCCCACCCCTCCTGCCCCGCCCACCTGGGGGGGCGGGGCTAAGAGGGGGTTGGGGGCGGGGCCTCAACAGCTGATCGTTAATGAGGGGGGTTTTGGGATAATTTGGGGAGGGGGGGGTGGTCTTGGAGATGGTTTGGGGGGGGGGGGTTTTGCTCACTCCCCCCCCCAGAATTCCAGGAATTCGATGGATTATTGATTGGAAAAGCGGGGTGGGAGGGGCTTATTTTTAGGGGCGGGGCCTCACACGGTTCGTGGTATTTTTTGGGGGGGATTGGAGCGGTTTGGGGGTGTTTTCCCCCCTTTTTTCCAGAGTTCCGGGTGTTTCCCGGAATAAAGGGGGTGGGAGTGAAGAGATCCGTTAAAAAAAGTGGGAAGGGCCCTCCAAAAAAATTCCCTGAGGGTCGTCCCGGTCTCCTCTAGTCAAACCCCCCCCAGTTATCCCAGAAATCTTACAATAATTCTGTAAATTCCCACAGCATTCCTAGAATCCTAGTTATCCCATAAAACCTAGCTATATCCCAAAACCCCCTCCGGTTATCCCCCAAAAACCTGACAATCATCCCCAAAACCCCAGTTATCCCAAACAACTCAGCTATCCCAGAAATCCTATGGTCACCCCCATCCATGCCTACCCTCATCCCGCTAATCCCACACCATTCCCGGTGCCTTCCCATTCCCTCTCTCCACCCACAGCGATTCCCAAATATCCTCCCATCCCTTCCCGCCCCTCCTCTTCCCAATCCCAAGAATCCCCATAATCCCTGACCCCTGGGATCCCATTCCAAGGGTTTTACGCCCTGGGAATTCCCATAGTTTTAGGTCTCCAAGCCCGGCGTTGTTCCCAAATCCCTCGGGAATGGCACAGACCCAGGAGGGCGGGGGTTTCGGGATGGGGGGTGGAGCCAGTGGGATCATCTGGATCGGAATTCCACGCGTCCAGAGAATTCCCAAAATTCCCAGACCGTTGTATCTGGGCCCCCCCTCCTGTACAGTCGCACTTTACTGGGATAAACCGGATTCTTTTCCTTCTTTCCCAAACGTCCCGTGTGCTGGTTTTTTCAGGGAAGAGTGGTCCCGGATTTTGAGCGTTCCGGGTTTTTTTTGGGGGGGAGAGGGGGGGTTGGAATTTAACACCCAAATATCCCTAAAAATACTCCCCAAACACCTCCCCCCCCAGACCCCAAATTCCCAGATCCCCTGCCCGGTTTTTTTGGGGATGGATTCGGAACGAAACACCCCCCTCCCACCCCCAGACCCCAAATTCCCAGACCCCCTGCCCGTTTTTTTTGGGGATGGATTCGGAACGACCTCCAGGACAAACCCCCCACACGTGGGTTTATTTGGGGAGGGGGGGGTCTCTCCTCCTCCTCCCCCCCCAATTCCCGAGGGGAATTCTTAACGGTTGGATTTGGCCACGCGCTCCAGCTCGTCCTTCTTCTTGATGGCGTAGGAGTTGGAAGAGCCCTGGGAAAAAGCAGGAAAAATGGGAATTCTGGGGAGGATTTTAAAGGGTTTGAGGGGCGTTTGGGGAGGCCTTGGGTGTTCATTCCAACTAAGGGGGTTTTGAGGGGTTTGGGGGGGATTTTTTTGGAGGTTTATTTGGGGAGGGTGTTGGGATTTTGGGAAACTCTGGAGAAGGAATTTTTTGGGATGGTTTTAAGGTGTTTTGGGGTACCTTGGCTGCATTAATGAGCTCGTCGGCCAAACACTCGGCGATGGTTTTGATGTTCCGGAAAGCGGCTTCGCGGGCGCCCGTGCACAGGAGCCAGATGGCCTGGAACGGGAAAAAAAAAACCGGGAATGAGAAGGGGAAAATCTGGGAATGGGGGGTGTTGGAGGGCTCGGGGATGATCCTGGGATTGTTGGGATTTGAGATCTGGGGGGTGGGACACCCGCCTGACCCTTCATAGGCACAACCACACCCCCCCACGGCCTGCCTGGGATTGCAATTATCCCGTGATTTGGGAATTCCGGGATTTGGTGATTCTGGGAATT